AAGCTGGTTTACTTCTTAGTGATACAACTACACTTCCTTGGTCAAAATCTCGAATACAAGTAATGAACGTATCGTCTAATGATACAGTATACGCTTATCCTAATAATCGACAAACATTAGAGCAATGGCCAAGTACGCCCCCAACATTTCTTCGATTAACAAAAACATATGATTATCAATTGGTGGTACTTACAACTGACGGTGTTGTGGTACTAATCCCTTCAGCTAACGCAGGTTACTATATGACAACAGATGATATTAATGTGCCAGTAAAACGGTAAATCTTATGTTCATGTAAAACTTATAAATGTGTACAAGGTTCAATGCCATGTATGATACGTCTTACAATGGCAAAGAGTTCTCCTATTGGCAAGAAATATTTAGTTCTTTTGAAAATAGGACTCTCTATTGTGCCTGTAGATTGTATTGCTTGTTTGCCAAGTTCTTTTTGCCCTCTCGCTTCTGTAAGTGACGTAAATAAATCAACATTTGAATCAAACAGTCAAGCTTATGCTTATCCTACTTTATCTTTGATGGCATCACTCGATGATATTCTCATGCAAAATATATTTAATTTACAAACAAAAACTATGCGATGTCTCATTATTTCACCATTTTTCTGGGCTCTAATCACATTATTTGCTGCTTTTATTATTTTACTTATCATGAGTACCTTATATTATTCTCTAACAAGAATGGAACATTTTTTCGCCATTCCGATCTTATTGGTAATGGAGAATTCTGGTTTGATGGACTCATATCCTTTTCTAATATTGTTCTTATCGTGTATAGTGTTTGGTTTGGTACAATTTTTGTTATAAAATGCCCAATAGAAACATTGAATGGTGCTTATTTTACATATGATACATCATTGAGAAATACGAAATTTAATTCAGCTCTACAATTACTAGCTACAATTAAATTGAATGAAGAAACACCAATAGTTGATATGCTTGATATGCAAAAATTTGCTATGACTGTCAACTTTTTGACGACAGGATACACTTGTAACGATGTAATTGCACAGGTAAATCAATGTAATATTCTTTGGCAACCATCACTACAAGAGTAGTCAATCGAAGTTTACTATCAGATAAGTTTTTCTCTATGTTCTGCTGTCCGTGCTCTTTCAAATATGAATTTCAAAAAGTGAATTCGAATTATATTTTCTCATTGCAGACTTATAACTTAATATCGAATTTTACTGGCATGATTGCTGGATAAACGACTATATTTTTCAAAACTTGTGTCTTTTTTTAACAAAAGTATTGGTACATATTCAGTAGCATTAGACCATCTCAATTGCGCTCTTCAACCAGATAATGCCACACTAACTGTAGTCTATCGCGTAGCTTATCATCAAATGACTACAAATAAATTTGACAGGTAAGTTCTATCTTAAACAGAATCAATCTGAGTATTTGTATATAGGATTATATTATGTTGGTGGTATTTTTATGTATCTCACAAGTCGCTCTTCCACTGATATTTATATTGAATATATCTTAAACTTCGAACTCAACCAAATCATGTAGTTTGAATGCCATGATGAATTTTACTGACACTCGATGATATTTATCATGTTAAATGTCGAACTATTTGCTTTGAGTCTTTCTAATTGATTATAAAGACTTTAATATTGGCACAAGCATCGATCAACATCTTTCTTGGCAGGCAGCATTCAATAGTTCCTTGACAAATATTGATGCCGAATTTGAAAAAAAAGAGGCTTATTTTAAATCGATTCTAATTCTGTACTATTATGACTATATCATATTAAAATTGAAATCTGCCTTTTGAATTGTACGAATACATTATTTAGCAAAGTTTACCATAAATAATCAAATTATTTCTCGTATGAAAATATGTATTCATTTGATGAAAACATAGACTGTTATTTATTTATTTATCTATCTATTCGTCCCAATCTTTTTTTGACTTTTTCTTTGTTTTTATTTTTTCCGGTCTAACATATGTTTCACCTAATTCAAATGTCAATTCATTTCGATTGATTTTTTGATCAAGTTGCTCGTGTGTGGGTCGAGGCCTACTTATAATATCGCCATAGATTTGTGCAAGTTGACCGAATTCTTCAGTAGCTAAGGTTAAACACATTGTATCTGATTTTAGATGAGCACGATGAAGTAATTCTCGTGTATCATCATCACGAGTCTCTTCTTGAAATAGAGCTCTTAATAGATAAATAAAAGTAATTAGTTAATTTAAATTAAATTAAAGAATCAAAGCAAAACTTACGCGATAGTGGTTCCCATTTTTTTATTTCGTGTATGAAATGCAACTCGAGTTACTTTATCTAAAAGATCATAACTAACCTCTACTAGAGGTCGTTTTAATGGAATCAATTGAATAACAGCAACATTCACATTAGCTGCTGGAACAAAAGCTCGACCAGAAAATACATGTTTAACACGACAATCAAACCAATTTTGAAAGATAATTGATAGACGACCACGTTGATCCATCAATGCATCTGATACTATTCGACCAGCAACGGCTTCTTGCATGCAAATTGTTATGGGTATTCGATAGCCGAATGAGAATGGGCCTGATCGAGTTGATACTTGTTTTAACCAACGAATCAAAAGTGGAATAGCTATGTTAAATGGTAGATTTCCAAGTAAATGAATTGGTGAACATGATGAAGATTCATCTGATTCCCATGAGCCATGTTGAGTAGTAATATCATCAGGTAAAACAGATTCAATATTAAAATCAAGTATATCACCAAGATAAAGTCGAAGCCGAGAATCAACAGCATTAGATAGTGTCTAAAGCAACATACAGTTGTCATTTTACATATCGGATACGTCTCAGTTATTAGTTTTTACCTGTAATGCAGGAAATAAACGGATATCTTTTTCAATAGCTGCTACTCGTGCTGCTCCATGTTCAAATAACTGTCTTGTTATACCACCAGGACCAGGTCCTACTTCAACCACCAATTCTAAAATAGCAATAGATGCAATTTAACATTGATTATTAATAACATAGAGATAAATACTAATATCTTTAAATATATATATATATATATATATATATTACCTCTCAATCTACATACTATTTTCAATATTGCCTGCACATGCAACAAATTTACTTGTTGCACGAGGATCAAGTAAAAAATTTTGTGCAAATCGACGTAAAGCTGGTAATTTATATGTGCGAAGTAAATCAGCTGCACTTGGTGTTGGTGGTAATACCACCTTTGGTATATAACTCATTATGATTGTTAATATCTAAAATTCATACGTTCATTCATGTTTCATGCATTCAATAATTTCTTATTAGGTCCTTGATATTTTTAAGAAATAAATATAAGTGATTTTCAATAAAGTAACACAAGACAAGCAAAACAAAAATTAGTCAATCTATGAAATAATTTGATTAAGTGATGATGATGATGATGAAGTTGATGAAAGTTTGATCATACGTTGATAACGAGCAGCCCGAAATGATGCTATAGCACCTACAATGCTTAACAGAATCATGCAAGTGAACATAGCTGACCAGCCATATTGAGCAACAATCCAACCAATCACTGGACCTTCAAGAAAAGTACCGATGGAGCCAAGTCCTGCAATAATGAAATGAAAATAAACTTTCAAGTCCTCTTTTTTTATTAATTTCTAATTACATATTAATTCAGTAATCGTATAGATATCTCTTTATCGTTCGCCCTTTTAAATTCTAGTATCTATAAGAAAAATCAATGTAATGAGATACATGTTCGTCATCTAACATATCTTTAACATTTATCGATTATTTGAAAAGAAGAAAAATCTAAAAAAAAAAAGACGCTGATAAAAACCATATCACATAAGTTATATCGCCTTTATTCATGTCGAATAAATTTTACTGTATTAAATACCATTGCCAATGATCCAGACTCAAGTACCATCATTTTCTAATGCTTGTATTATTACTCTAGATCTATACGTCTATTCGATTTAATTCAATATTTTTCATTATTAAATCGATTACAAAATATTTATTAATATCAATCAAGTATTATACATCAATAGTATAACTTTCACGTTCATTAAGTATATCAGCAAGGTCGATACTAATTATATTCAATCATCATAAAAAAATGATTGAAATAATCCTGACATGTATTTATCATCTATCGATCATAGAATGAATATTCAGGACTAAAATTCTATATCGTTCTACTGATTTCATTAATCAATCACCAATTAAATATTATAAAATACCGTAGTACAAGAATATACTGATCTATAAACTCGATTGAATAATTATTATATTATAAATTTGAATAAAAATAACTAAAGTATTAATTATTTCTTTACAATACACTATAGTGTGTGTTGAATTTTGCTTCGTGATTGAATTATGAAGAGTATTATGGAAGAAAAAAAATCATAGAGATTTGACACGTTGTTTTTTGCTTCTCAGAGTATCAATAATGAAGTATGTCTTATATATTTTCTTTTTCTCCTTTCAGTTTTACCCGCTTTCTTTTCACTTTGATTCAAATCTTTCCAAAAAACAGTAACAGTTATGTGTATTGAATTCAACCGTTTCTTTCTGTTTAAATACTGTTAATAAAGAAGTATTTGTGATGATGTTTCACATAAAAAATTCACGAATTTGTATACATATATATATATATATATTGGTTATCTTGACTTTTCTCATGTTGTCTTCATTTTCTTGCAACTTTTTTTTGTCAAACTTTGCATACCATTGTAAACATCGTCCATAATTAAGTGATCTCTCTCTCTCTCTCTCGTTTTTCCGTGTGTTGTATGAAAGATGATGGTGTCGCAATAAAAAAAAAATGAGCGAGAGGCGAGTCAAATATTAGCCGACAGAGAAAGAGAAAACTGTTTTATGCTTTGTTAGCATTATCATCTTTTTTACGTCTTTTTCTCCGACTAGATGTATGGCTTCAGGGCATCTTTCTTTCCTTTTTATTGAACATATCTACCGTCTGTTCGTAGGATTATATATCGAGTCGAACGTTTATATATCCGTGTTCATTCATTTTTCATGATCACCACCATCTGCTCACACCTGCGTCAAAAAGTAGTCTTTTTATCTTTCTCTCTTCGGTTTTTTGCTCGCTCGCTTGCTCATTTAATTGCCGATACGTTTTTTCAGAAACAACATTGCCTAGAAGGCAAATCCCGGAATATCGACTGTGTGTGTGTTGTAAGCGATTGACAACATAAAGAGAGAAATTCTTTCTTTGCATGCACTGCACTTCTTCTTTTGTTTAAACTAGTGTTGGTAGCTGGATGATGTATAATGTAAAAAAGCCGAGAGTGCTGCTCCTTGCTGGTCGGATAAAAGTGATGAAAAAGTGTCGATAGAGAAAGAAACGAACAAAAAAAAATCTTTCAATATCCATATTCTTATTGCTCCTACATCGTTCTCTTGTTGATAGTATTGGCAGTTGCAGAATAGAGTAACGGAGTTGCAATTGTTTGCTATAGCGACTGACTGCAGATGCAGACAGAAGGAGGAAAGAGTTTCGTTTCACTATTGCACTCTCGATACTTTTTTACAAGCCAATGTGTGCGATGCATATGCAAGCAGTCAATGTACCACTATTATTGGGAGAGGTACTGTGCACATATACAATTAATTAGAGCACGAAAAGGAAGGTGAGTCGAGCGATCAACGACGATTTCGGACATAGGTAGAAAGAAGAATACTGCTCTATATATCTTTTTCTTTCTCTCTTCCTGTTCTTCTGTGGCACTAAGCTAATGAACGTTGTCGCTCGATATTTGCGTCTATGACAATGTCGTATATCTCAAAGCAAGGAAGCAAAAAAAATGAGAAACAGAGAAGGAGAGAGAATGATCTATTTGACAGAAAAAGCAGACAGGCAGCAGCAATTTATCGTTGACATACAGTTGACCTATAATCATCGTAAAAAGCGCGCGCGAGAGAGAGAAAGAGAGAGAGAGAGAGAAACAGAGTAACGTCCATCATTATCAGCAACTGGGGATCTCCTCTGCTATTTTTTTTATGTTTTTCTTTTTCTATACCAAAAAGAAGAAAGAACAAAAAAAGAAATTACTCGTCGTCCCGTTATCATTCAACAGATCGAATTTCACACACTGCATCAGAAGGTAGTGTATCCTCTTCGTTACATTTCATGTTTACATTCGTTTCGTAACACACATACGCAAATGTGTGCGAGAAAGCTATTGCTACTCGATCAAAGAAGAGAGGGATATCTTTATATTTGACATTTGGTCAAAATCGAAGGTTGCTGTTACTCTCTACTTTCCATTGATTTACTTTGTTATCATTATCAATCGAATGCCTACGAACGAGAGAAAGGTATTCATTCACATATGCACAAACACTCGCCTATCTACTACCTTCTTGCTTGATCTCTTTCTCTCTCTCCCTCTCCCTCTCTCTCTCTCTCTCTCTCTCCTTGCCTTTTTTAATCCCGATACTACTGCTGCCATTCTCGAATCGGGTATATATCCTTTCTTCTTCTTTTTTTTGTATGCTTGTGAACACACACATTCTTCATCTCAATTTTTTGTTCGTTCTCATGATATACGACGGGAGACGATGGAAAAAATGTGTGTGTGTGCTCACTACTCCAAGATATGAGAAGAAGACAGACATAAGGAAAGAAATGGGTAGTCTCTCTCTCTCTCTGTTTTTTATGTTTTTCCTGAACTCTCTATATCGGGCACACAAAAAAAAGATAGACGATGACGACCGACGAGGAAATATGAGGCACCATCGACTGAGAATAGAAGTGAACGACAACGATGGAAGATGGATATATAGATATGTGCGAGACGAGAAGTGTTCATCTCTTTCTTTTGCTTCTTCTTTTGTCAACTGGGCGACATATATAAAAAAACAAACGACATAAACGAGGAATAAGACAGAGAGAGAGAGAGAAGACGCAAAAAGAAGAGAGCGATATATCCTCATTTAAGTATGCTACTGGTGAACTCTAGTTGACATCCACATTCGTATATAGCTAGACATAAAAAGCGGGAACTAGGTAAGTAGCACAATATGAGGATAATCATCATCATTATTGTTATCGTCAAATTGGTAGTATCTGCTAAGAAAAAAAAGACGCAATCAATATTTATGAGGTCGATAATTAGTAAATCGTCTGTTCGACATGATAGTAGTCTTGCATTTCATGTTCATTATCATCATTCAACAAACGCTTCACGTTAAGATATACTATGTATTCATGTGTGTGCCATCGAAACAGATGAAGGAGAGGAAGAATTTTAAAAAATACCGCGCAAGAGTTAGATATCTAACAGCTTTCGTTTAATATGCAGCACCAGCCGCGTATGCTCGACAAAGTAAGCAGATGGTACGAAAAGAATATAAAAAAATTTGGTGTTTGTATGTTTCAATGGTGTATGTAGAGAGAGAGAAAAAAGAGCGGTATGTGAGAGACTAGTAAATGAGAAGAACAAAAATATTAACTATTAAACAACTGTGTAAATGAATATTCGAACAATAGAAATCAATTTAAAAGGTCAGCAATAACATCTTAGATATGAAGAAAAAAGAGAAATGAAATATTTCATTGTATATTAAAGATGTTCGCTTTTTTTCTTCTGTCTTATCTATGTCTTTTTTGTATATTGACGTAGGATAGGGACAAAAGATGAGCTTTATTCGCATGTCTATATCACGCAATTTACCGTCTTAGGTCTCCTCTTGCCTTTCGTTTTTTCTCTATCGTGTATTCGTGCGCACATCCGTCGCTCGTTTAGTAAATACCAGGATGCATATAACGATACTCATATTTGTATGCTCAGGATATCGTGTGCTTTACTTACGTCTCTTCTCGACCTCCGTTTATTGTTCATTGTTTGTTCATCGTATTTACTACTATTTCTTTTTCTAGATCTCTTCTCTTTTTTATTCGTACTAATAGACAATACTCGTTTAAGTGTGTGTATGTGTGTGTGTACATATATATAAAATATGGCTACAGCCGCAACATCTCTTGCCGATTTTCATCAAATGATAAAATTATTTGGTGCTGATGCAGACGAAATGACTGGTACAACAACTACTACAAGTACAACAACAACAGCAACAGCAGCAACATTTGTATCAACAGATGAACTTGATGATGATGATGATGATGAAGATGAAAATGAAAATGAATTACAACTTGATGAAGAATCACCAAATTCAAGTGGTGGAGAGGAAACAATATCACGTTCATCAATAGCAACATCATCAGTTCAAATGAATAAAGATGATCAATCATCAACAAAACCTATATCATCAGCAGCTGCCGCTGCGCGTTTATCACGTTTAGCAAATCAACGTATCGATTCGAATCGTTTTCTAATATGTTCAGGGACAAATTCTTATAATACAATACGTAAAACAAAACATGAAGTAAGACGTTTTGCATTATACTTGGAAGATACATTCGGTGAAAATTGTCCCATTGACGAATTAGAACCAGAACAATTGTGTACTTATTTAAAGCATTATTTTGGTAATGTTCGTAAAGCTGATAATACTGAATATGAACCTGATACATTAAGAAGTTTTATGTTATCAATTGAACGTTATTTGAAATCTCGAAAATATCCATGTAATATACTTGAATCACCTGTCTTTGCGCCATGTAGAGAAGTTATACAAGAAAAACGTGATACATGGGCAAAACCAAATAAAAGTGTTTGCAATTCAAAAGTTGAAGCATTTACATCCCAACATGAAGCATTATTAAGAAAAATGAACATAATAACACGTGATACACCAGATGGCTTATTACTGGAATTATTAATAAATAATTCGAAATATTTTGATCAACGTGGTTATGAATCGACAATAAATCGTTCATTACTATGGGGTGATCTTGAAATTAAAACAGATTCAACAACATCCATTGAATATATTGAATATAAGCGAACACCACAAATATCATCAAATAAAGATTCAACAGCCAATGAGATAACAACGAATTTACGTGCTTATGCAATATCGTCACATTCTAATGAATGTCCAGTTGTTGCCTTACGTCTTTTGTCATATCATCGTCCACCACAATGTTCAAATGCTGATGCACCATTTTATATTGTACCACGTACATCAGCTGATCAACGAGTATGGTACAAAACCATACGTGCTGGTCGTCATCGACTAGATTTACTTCTTCAACAAGCTATGCAAAAAGCTGGTATCAGTGGAAAATTTTCTTGCATGAGTTTAAGAAAAGGAAAAATAAAAGGTTTACTTATTCCAACAACGTCTTCAAATGTTACTTCCAACACACATTTGGATAATTCATCAACGTCAACATCACCATCAACGTCACCAACAATGGATGATAAATCAAAAATCAATGTAGTTTCACCATTATCAATAACAGAACAACAATTATCGTCAACAAAAAATGTTCATAAAAGAAGCACAAGTTCAACGTCAAATTCTAATTGTTCAGAATTACTTGATTTATCAGCTCATAGTAATCATAATAATAATAATAATAATAATAATAATGGTGTAATTAATTTAGCAAAAAAAATTAAACGAGAACCAACTCCACCATCACTTTTATTACCGATGACATCGTCTGTATTGGTAAGAGAATTGATTCTTTTTAACCAAAAAAAAAGAAAACTCAGAATAACTTTACTTTCTTTTATATATTCTATTTATTTAGAATAATGGTACGATTTCTAATCATCAACATTTAACATCAATGCTTCCACTTCAACAACAATCACAAAATCATCCACAACGTTCACTCGTTACTGTTGATGATTTACCGACATTAGTTGCTCAAACACCTACATCAGTATCGATATCATCCAACAATACCAATAATAATAATAATAATAATAATAACAACAACAACAACAATAATAATAATAATAATAATAATAATAAACGTAAATTAACATCACATGATACATTTACAGCACTTTATTCAGCGGCACATTCAAAATCATCACGACAATCAAAAATGAATGTTTTACGTAAATATCTCGAAGAAACACTGGGTCTTGTAGAATTTCTTACTTTATATGAATATTTACGGCGTAATTCACATATTAAATTACAAGGTACACCTATTGAGCATTACGAGCATGTTTTGCCTGTTTTACTCACGTTACTTATGCTCGAAAATACAGCATAAAAGATTCTCCTTCCTAATCGAGTTCTTATCTGTTTTCCGTCTTTATATATTTCAATTCTAACCAACAAATCCATTCCATTCAGTCAATTATTCTCAAGTGAAATGATCATGCATGTATGTGTTCTTCTAGTCGTTCTGTAATTCATTTTTGTCTCGTTTTTATCTTTTTGATTTTTATTAAAAATCTGATCTCAATGTTTTATTTCATTCCGATGTTGTCTTGTGTTCCAATTTGTTGTATCATTCCAATGTTTTTTTTTTGTTTTAAAATATGTTTGTGTATCTTTCTTTTTGAATTTTCCGTCGTTTTTTTCCAGTCTGGTGAGAGTGAGGGGGAGAGAGAGAGAGAGAGAGATAATGAATGATGTGATTTGTATAGAAGAAAATACTTTTCTTGGAATGTATGAAGAATGAAATTTAATAATATACATACCGTTGACAAAACCAATAACTGCACTACCAGCATTACGACCATCCATTTCACCAATTTCAATAGGTACTGAACTACCTGAGAAAAAAAAATAAACAAACAAACATGTAACTATTTCATATGGCAATAGTTTCAATAAAACATTTTTGAGCTTTTAGATCAGGCTTTTTTAATATCTTTTTTTTGTGCTAATGGAATAGTTCTTCTTCAATTGCATCATAGAGTAATAACTAAATAAATCAGTTAGGCACAAAAAGTCTTGACATTTCATTTTTTTTCCGATTACGATAAAGAGTTGATCTTTTAACTGTAAGTCATTGATGAGTAGAAAGTTGTATGAAAAATTATGAAAAAAAGAACGATTACTCAACAAAGAACACATCTTGCTTATAATATGATTAAAGTTTTCTAATTTTCAACAGTAAAAAAAAATAGTCATCCATAAAAACAACATTGATCTAGTTGAAAACGTTTTTGGTTCATTAAAAAATGATTTAACTTACAAAGAATAATATCAGCTCCACAATTTAATAGTCCAGTAAGCAACATTAAAATTGAATTCATAGCAATGCCTGATTTAGCAAATGCTAAGAACAAGAGAAGAGTACCAGCACTAAGTAATGTTTCAACGGCTGCACCAAGACATCCTTCATTATTAAAGAATCTTCAATGAGCAGATATTATAAATGTAAATATAAAATAATAAAATGAAATTACCGTTTAAGAATAAATCCAATCGTGGCACTTCCTACAACTCCACCAATATCGAACATGGTTGAAAAGAGACCAGCATCAGTGGTTGAATAATTTAGCTAAATGAAAAAGCATCAATACAACGGCTTTTGTTTTTCTTTGTAATAAAAAAGAAAATAAACAAGCACAATTTACCTCTTGTTTCAAATATAATGGAAGCCATAAATAAATAGCGTATCGAACAACTTTTAAACAAAATACTGTTGTAGCGATCTCCTTAACCATTCTATTAAAACAAATGATTAATTTTATTTTTCAAACAGAAACGTTTGTACGAGAACTTACGGTAAACGATATACTTCCATAATTGTTATTCTTGGACGTATATCAGAAGCTTTTGATGATTCTGTTTAAATGTATTTAGTTTTTTTTTTAAGTACATTATTAACAAAAACTTATTCAATACCTTTTCCTGCGACAGCTATTTTTACTTCAGATGGTTCTCGAAAAAGAAAAAGAACCAAAAATCCAGCAATGATCTATGTAAAAATTTGCTTTTTAATAATTATAAAAATATAGCAAGATTCAAATACGCAATAAACTGATGGTTGAAAATGAACAAATCGCCAACCATCTTTTCCTTGAATATAAACCTGTCAAAAGGCGAAATCAGAAAAATTCAACAGACTTGGGTTCAATAAAAAAAGAAGTTCCTCACAGCAAGTGCAGTACCAAGAATACCACCAGCAAAAGGACATGTTCCAAAGAGACCAAATATAAAATTACGCTGAGCATCAGTGACCCATGCTCCAAGACCTTTATTAGCAGCCGCCCAGCATAATGACTAAAATAATTTTAATGAAGAAAAAGCACTAGGCTTTTTTTAATTATATTTATTTCTTTTCTTTCTTACTTGAAATGCACCATTTAGAAAAAGTAAGAAAAGAAAAAGTCGATAATCACTCCACCATCCAAAAGTAACCTAAATTATAATTTGCAAATGGACTATCCTATTCTATATCAAAATAATACCATAGCGATACCAGAACCAATGAGACCATAACCAAATGTACGTCGTGCACCATATAGATCACCGAATGAACCAAAGAATGTCTAATAATCAACAATGTATTTTATTTATATAAAGATAATAATCATTTTATTTTTTACTTGAATAAGAGCATAAGGTAATAAAAGTGCTGTATCGAACAGTCCCAATTGAAATTTTGAAAAACTAAGATCATGCTCTAGATCTGTTTTTATCTAAGATAGGAAATCAAGGTAAAAACAAATCAAGAATAAATCGATTACTTACTACTCCTAATGGTTTTCGTAAGAAATATGTTAATGCATAGGATGTCCATGCAACAAAAAATGAAATTAAAAGACGATTTTGAACAGTCGGCATGTTTTCTTTTTAATCCTTATCACACTGATGATAATAAAATTAAAACTATTCGGTCTAAAAATAAACGTCAAGAAAAACATAATAGTACGAATTCTTTACTCGAGACATAGATATGTTATTTATGTGAGTTAAAAGCAAAACAATGAATTCTTCAATAAATATTTTAATTACAAGTTTTTTTATCCGTCCCAATTGTTTAGTCATTCAAATTAATCTTCTTGTCTTGCAGTTACGATTATTAATACGAGCGTACTATCAAACAATGTCAAACAATCCCGTTAGAGAGAATCATAGTTGTTGATAAATGCAAATGCAATAATTTGGATTCGTTCATGTTATTCTTGTTCGATAAAATTTATTCGTTGATTGTCACTACTAAAAAGAGATAAAACTCACAATCCGAAAAAGTTATCCTTTTTCTGTTGAATCGATAAAAAAAATTAGTTGACGAAACCCCACAGTATTTTCACGGCCATTTGCAATGCATCAATTCAAAATTTTCTATTCATAAGCAGATTGATTACAATTTATTCTTATGTTACTTGACACTTTTTTCATTCCTTTATCAAATACTATTTCTCATTTTTTTGTCATATTTTTTGCTTAGGCAAGGCTGTTTTAAAGCTGACAATAATATCGAAGCTGATGCATGATACAGACAAATAACGGGTGCGCCAGGTTGAATAAATCGGTCAGTATTTTGATGATATCTTTTTCAATTTTCATTCTTTGGAGTTTAACTTATGCCCACAAGATATTCCTATTCAATTCTCTACAAAATATACACCACTAGATTTTCTATTATGGCTTAAGTGAAATCTTTTTAAGTAGACGCTTCGACACGTTCACAAGGACCAACTTTCATGGCAATTTAAAAACAACAGAATTTATCATTTTCATTCAATTCTACCTACAAAGAAAGCGAAACAAAAATATTTTGGATTACTTTGAAGAATAGGTGGTTAAAGGTCGACAGGGAAAATATTGAAAGACAAAATGGCGAAAGACAAAAGGTCGAAAGCAGATTGTCGAAAATTCAAATCCTATTTAGTCACAAATTTCGCCCTCACCCTCAGTGTTGTGCTTTATGCATGCATATCGGATTACATCCCATTGATCAAATCTTAGAAAAAACTTTTCACCAAGGAGTTCCAGGAATTTCCAGAGGTTCATAATTTTCGACATTTTTTTTTGGCCTTTTAGCATTTTACCATTTTGGCTTAACTATGCCTTTTGTTTTCTAAGAATATCGCAACTGCAGCTTGGACGAGCTAAATGTTTGAAAATCTGTAAAAGAAAATATGTTGAGTATCTCGCAAGGGTCAACATGAAAATTTTTCAATTATGATTGATCGATAGAGCTTCTCAAGGTCTACAAGATACCTATTTTTAAAAAAATTTGCCTTCACTAGTCAATGAAAAACCCTGAAGAAGCAAGTCTTAAGCGTTGAAAGTTGATCCTTTTGAATGTATCGAAGCTTCTGCTTAAAAACGTTTTACTTGACTTTCAATAGAAAATCTAGTGGTGTAGGTTTCGTAGAGAATTGAATAGCTAATCTTTTGGAGAAAAGTTAAACCCCAAAGAAACAAAATTGAAGAAGGTATCACCAAAATACTGGGGGGGCATTGCACCTGGCGCATCCGTTACATTGGAATCGAGCTGAACAATAGTACGTTTTTGTTTTCATACTTATGCAGAAAAAGCAACATTCGATGCGTCACATGTTCTTGTTTTCAAATAAACATTGTTTAGACAAGTCTGATATTCATTAACAGATCATAAATGGAACGCTGTTTTAAACTTTATCAAAAACATAAAATTGTGAAACTTATCTCAACTTATTACGATTCAGTTTTTTGTCAATTTTAATTACTTTCTAATAACGTCATTTGTATATTTTTATGGAGCAATTTCAGAAATATATGAGCGTCCTTTATATAATAGTATGATGGGAGCATCTTGGTAATAACAATTATCGAAATCTCTAGGATGTTAAAACGAGCAAAGATAGTAAAACAAATGATGTATTGAAACAAACCATTATGTAATAAGAAAAGTTTATGCATGGAAGTCATTGTAAATAGGAAATGTTTTTTGATGAAGAAGCATTCACAATGAAAACTATTGAATTTTGAGAATAAAAAATTGTTTTTTTCTTCAATTTTTAAAAATACCTAAGAAATCAATCTTTTATTATGATCAATTAAGAGTCTATAATGAAATATTCTCCTTTTGATTTCTAATGCAATTGAAGAATTCAATATTCAGTTACTATTTTCTAATAAAGAGAAAAAATAGAAAGAAATTAATTAATTAATTAATCCATTCATTCTTTTTGTTATTGTTGCTTCTAAATTTTTAGTGATTTCTTTTATTCCTTGCGTCAATATCGTTCTATTCAATTAAATGCTAACTAGAATACCAAAATTAAAATGCATATTTATACAATTAAAAGCAAAAGTGTACCAGAATGCATAACTTCGCTTTGTTGTTTCTGAGCGAAAACATAGAATCGATCAAGCATAGCACAACGAGCGTTTTCTTTCAACATTGTTCAAAATAAAACGATTTACCATTTGTTCATAGAATGACTTCAATATCACATAGGTCGAAGATAAACACTGGAAACTATCTGACATAGGATAATTGAGTGGCTCTTGTAAATATGAGATCAATAAAATGATTCAGTTATTTCGAAGTATTACTATAATCATTTTGCTTTCGTCAAACTTGAATTTCATATCTCATGAGTAATGCTCAATTATTAGATCAAAATCTTCCTTTCAACATTCACACGATGACTAATCATCTTGTATTGTATCATTTAAGGAATTCATTAAACATGGAAAATTTGAAATCTAATTCTTTGATTACTGTGATTTTACATATTACACTAGCTCTAAGTACTTTAATAACGCGTTCTCTTTTTGTTTTCTCTAAGTGAATCTTCAAATAATGAAACGCAACTAAGTTAAACTCCTATTGAAAAGCCATTCGAAATCTGAAGCTTTTAATAATTTCCTAATATACATACGAAACTTTAATCAAAGTCATTCACTATTCAAAATTCACTAAATAAATATTTGTTCAGTGATTGTTTATAATGAATATGATTTAAAGAAGAATTTTTCCACATGTTTTTGTTAGTTATGAAGTATTTTCTATACTTACATACTTATGATTCTATTGTGTATGTTTAGATCACATAACGTTATTGCAAAAACTAAATCCGATGTTCGTGAGATTCTAGTTTTTAAATTTCAATTACATCTGATGGCATTGTACATATGCAAACGTATGCTCATTGCGAAGTTGAATAACACTATCGAAAGAATTCGTCATCTAAAAGTATAAAAAAAGCAAGAAGTTAATTATTTTAATGACACGATATTTCTATGTTTTACCATTGGATAGATCTCTTTTCGAATCTGTTTACTTCATTAAGCCATGAATAATGAATTCTTAGTTTGCTGTTGTGTTTAACATATCACTTCCTTATTGAATCGAATCAAAATGTGATACTTAATAATAGAATTACTAGTTTCTATTGAGTATGGTTGATAAATACATTCATATTCTTCGAGCGGTCAATAATATTTGATGATGGTTTATATTTTATTTCGACTTTAAATATTGACTAAGCCGCAATAACTCGATATAGATTTGTATGTGTATTTGCTCAAACTTTACAAAGTTGCTGTAACGATGATAGTATTAGCATATAATAATGATTACTAGTCTCGTATATGTTCAAATGTAATAAATCTCGGTTTGGCTCTCATTAGAATATATCTCTCAACATATTTTAAAGTAATTGATCGTTTAAGAATTCGTTTTGTTGGTCGGATGAAATTTCTTCCGAAGAAAATATAGTGATTATAATGATGTACCAGACCATGAGTGTTATCTTACTTGGTCATTTCCTTTTCGATTAAATACATGGATGCCAGTTAATATTGAAACTTTGATAGAGAGATCAGTTGTGAACTGAAGACTGTTAGTGAAAATTTGAGCCAGAATTCCAAATAAGATTTAAGTGAATACATGTTTTCGTCATAAACGAAACAAGTTAATGTGGTATTCTTTAAATTACCGAAGAGGGGCAGATACCATGCAACAGTTTTACTCAACAGAAGTACTGCTACTAAAAACTTCCAGGTAGATTATTGGTTAACAAATCACATAGATACTATCGTTTTGAAGAAGATGGCGCTAGAAAGTGAACGCTGCTTTTTATTGATCAATGGTTCAGTCTTGGAAAAAACGAGCATTTATGATCAACACAAGTCATTGATCAGGATCAGAATAGTTTAACGCTGATTTAATCAATACATTTTTAACCAGAACTATAAAGATTTGTTTACTCAAATATTTATCAAGTTTCACATAAATCTTAAGGCTTAACATGTTCTTGAAGACAAACTCCTGTCTGATTTCTTCTTCATTTTTAGAAAACAGATTTTCGATATCTAAAGATTTGGAATTCAAATTTCTACCAGATGATTTCTACTAAAAGTGAATGTTACTGTTGGATTTACGCGATTGGCGAAAGTTGAGCACGAGGAAAGATGAGCACGGAAAAATAACTACGAAAGAAAAAGAAACTAAAAAAAATACAATCAATAAACATATAAACATAAACCAATTTATGTTAATTAGACCATATATATAACATAACAACATCAACATAATAAGTACAAATTCTGCACAATAGTCTAATTATTCACACTAAATGAATACAGAGAACGTAATTAATTGTGCGTTTGGCTGCGTGGATGCTACTCTTATTTTACCTTTTAGTGACACCCACACTCTGTCATAGAATGTAAATAATTTTATTGGGTCAGTCGATACACTGTATCTGTATAAGTTTTATTTATTTGTGCTTAGCTTTCCTGTGCTCATTTTATGGGCGCTTATTATTCCAGTGCTTAACTTTCCGTGCTCATCACTCCTCGTGCTCAACTTTCCGGTTCCCATTTCTGTTTCTCCTTGTCGATTCCCTTTAGTTGAGCAATCCAAACTAAGCAGTCCATTAGAGAATTGCATTTTAATTCAATATTGAACACTTATACTCTAAACCTTTATCATAGATAATTGAATAGAGATAGTATCAAGAATCTACACAAAAAAAAACATTCAAAGTAGCTAATATCAGATTTACGCAATTTTAATCGAAGAAAACACGACAAACACGAATGTTTTTGAGCATAGTGAATATTCTTATTGAATCAAAAGCAAGTATATCTTCGTAATCAATTTTGAAGATTAGGCAAAAGTAATGTCAAAACGTATAATAGAAAGAAAATTTTGTTTATGTTATCATTTTTTCTATTACTAGTAGAAAAAGATGAAGTCGAGAATAGTTTCTTTAGATCATTGTATATAATAAATAGTTATGTGTTATTGATGGAATTAATATATAAAATTACTTTCAAGATTCTATTGGATATTATAGTTTTTTTTTATGTAGCTCAACGAAGAGAGCATCGGCGATTCAGGAGTATTTCTCTGCTGAGAATCAATCATCTTCTTTCATTTTATCAATTAAATCGAGCCCATTTGATCAGATCTGTTATTCATATCAAAGAAAAATATAGTATTGAAAAATATGAATGTAAAAATTGTCAAAAGTCTCTATGCCATCTTTCGAAAACCAGACTCTTTCAAATCAATCAATGGTACTAAAATAGACGCGGTATTGTTTGACAAGAATTAGTTTGACATTTATTTAGCCTGTTGTTTCTTGAAAAACAGCGAGTAGCACATAAAAACTCCATTGTTTGTATTATTAAATGTATATCAGTAAAACTAGCTACTGTCTGATTTCCTTCTTTCTATAAACGAGAAACAAGAAATAAGAATATTATCTTCGTTCTTGAAAACAGATTTTTAGACAACCTTTAATTACATTTATATTCAATGATTCTTAGTTCAACTATACTGTAAAAGAAAGTATGAAGAAACTTTTGAAATCAACAAATGATAAATAATTTTTTTCTTGAAAGTCTTTTTTTTTTGAACATTTGAAATTTTTAAGAGAAGCACAAATCATAAAAGAATAATTTTGAAAGAAAAGCAGCGATCAACAGTCAATACATACATTTTCAATTAAAGAACTGAATTAAAACACCTTCTTTGTGCATTTTTGAGAAATCTTAATCAATTAGGACGTTTTATTTGTAATATTATCTTCAAGGAATTATTTATTTAATTTTTGCTTATCAGTTTCAGCAGATAAAAATACGTTTTTTTTAATGTATTAATCGAAACAGATACATTTGCATGGTATCCAAGTGTCTCAAGATGTCAGTATGATGCTTACGTCATTTTGATTGGTTGCTTAACTGAGTCTTTTCATTTCTCCCCCTGATCATTGTTTTGTTACTGACAAAATACGAGAAAGGATGGCGACAACAGAACTCGTCTATCCACTTGCTTTTCCAAAATCTGTCGTACACAAATGTGAAATATGTGGAAAAGCTGCATCACGCATGTGTTCAAAATGTCGTGTAACGTATTATTGTTCTGAAGAGCATCAAGCAGCTGATAATATTGGTATCCATGATAAAATCTGCTCAACATTAGCATCACTTCGATTAAAACAACCATTTCTTCCTTCCGAAGAAGAACGTCGTGAACGTGATCGTGAAATACGTGATAGAAAAATTCATTTAGTTGGAGTAACTCGCATGATTGGAGAACGACATGTAATTTTTGAAAAATAAAAATAAAAATTTATGAAATTCTATCATTCAGGTTTTTCAAGATCGTTTTGAAGCAGCTGTCCCAGCAGCACTTGCTTCACTTAAATTAGCTATTGAAGTTCATGGGCCACGAAGTGTCGAACTCATTCCATCGTATTTAATCCTAGCTGAAGCTAGTTTAGGTTTAAAACAATTAAATCAATGTTGGGAATATCTATCTCAAGCACAATATACAGTTTTACAACAACACGAACAAGCACCTTTAGCAATAACATCACAATTAGCACGAAATATGGCTCAATTAAGTATTGCTAGAAAAGAATATGATGACGCAGCTAGACATTTAGCAAATGATGTTTGTATTCGATCGATACTCTTACTTTTTTTCGGTTTTCATTCAATAATTTTACTTTAGATCTATGATGCTTCCCTTTGCTATGGTACAGAACATCATAAAGTAGCTGGAGGTTATTTTCTTTTGGGCAAAGTATTTAAATTAATGAATCGCAACGAAGTAACAGAATCATTATATACACAAGTAACACAAATGTGGTATAATTTTCTACGTCGTCTTCTTCAGTCACGTGTCGTATTTTCTGATATGGATGCGATTTTAGGAAAAAAAGATGAAGACGATGAAGATGAACTGACAAGCTCATCAAAACTTGGTAAAATTAAAGAATTTTATCATATTGAGTTACTTATTGCAAAAACAAATTCTATTTTCTTTTAGATTTATCAACTGAAGCTGAAGCATTTAATACACTTCAGACATTATTAAATTATCGTCTTGAAACTCAGCAAACCAATCCAATGACACAAGAACTGAATAAAATCCATCATTGCTTAACAATTTTATATTTTCTAGCACGAGACTATATACAAGTGCATGATTCAATGAATAAAATAAAAGATTGTACCATACAAGATATTGAAGATGATCAGCAGCGAATACTAAAATTTCTTGAACAACTTGGTCAAATGAAAGCATTAATGAAACGTCAACAACAACAGAATTGATTATTTTCTTTCTTATAATTTCTTTGCTTTTCTTGTTTCGAATGAATACAGTGAATGAATCTCTGTTTGATCAATCTTTTTTTCCAAATTATTTTTCTTTTTATTGTAGATTTAATATACAACATAAGATTAAATCATGTGGCAAGAAATGAGAAAACATGAGAAGAAATTACGTGGAATGATTGTTGATTATAAAAAACGATCAGAAAGGAGAAAAGAATATTATGAAAGAATTGTTTGTATATTTATTCATTTTTTTAAAGACCCAATGAATGTTGTACTATTTATAGAAACGTGATCCAGCAGAATTCTTACAGATTTGGGGTCGTCCAGCTAAAATTCATCTAGATCCATCAATAGCAATCGCTGCAGAAGCAACATTGTAAGTATAAAGATTGAAACTAATTGCATGATATTAAGTATACTGATTTCAGTAGACTGAAATGTCGTAGTACTTTTTTCAATTTATAAAATTTATTCATTTTCATGATTGTAGAACCCCATGGCGTGATGATGAAACAACAATGATTGATCGATTTGATGTTCGTTCACATTTGGATGTAATTGATGAATATGCTTTAAAAAGTCAACAGAATCAACAAGGCTTCGAGTCGGTACTTTTTCAATTTCTTTTTCGCGTACAATCTTGAATCGATTATTCAGTGAATAAAGAATATCTTCTTTTGTACATAATAGATCACTATCTGAAATAGAACAAAATGAAGAACGCGTATGCAATTATGAACGTTATCGAGTTTTAATTCATAATGAATCAAATAGTGGTAGGAATGACAATTTGCCAATGAGCAAATGATTTTAAGACGAATTATGTGAAATGATTCCTTTTTAGTTAGCGAAGAACAGTGTTTACGTGATATTGAATTTGATGAAAAATTTGGTGCACTTCGAGACGATCATCATCCAGCATCGAAAGAGGCCAAAAAGAAAAAGTAGGCTTTGTCCAATAGAGAATAGAAAAAAAACAAGGAAAGCGAGCATATGAAAAGTAGAATTTTTCTCAAAGAATTGAATCGATTCATCTTGTTTTTTTTTGTTTCTACTTCAGATCAACGACAAAAAAAGCAGAAATCGGTTTTGTATACGATGATGCACCTGCCCCAACATCAACAAAAAAATCAACAGCAGTCGATAATAGTGATGAAAGTGATGAAGATGACAATGATGAAGATTTAGATTTGGACATTGAAATCGATATAACACAATTGACTAGTGAAAATAAAGCATCATTAAACAAAGTTGCTACACATTATGGAATGGCATTTGGAGATTTTGCACGAATGTTAATATTGGATCGAGAAGAAATGCAAGCTATTAAAGACAATAAATTAGAACGAGAACAAGATATACCTGTGAAAGTAAGATCATTTTTTTCCTACTTATCATTATCGGATCGTATTGTTTAAATAGGGTCGTCGAGCTCGTCGTGAACGTCGTTTGGCAAAAGAAAGACGCATTAAAGAGCGTGATTTTTGTCCGCCGAGGTATTCTATTCAATATTGTTTCTGTTCTTGTCTTCATATAAAATTTTCAAATTTCTCTCTTCATTAAAGTTATCTAAGTCGTGAAATCCCGAAATTACCTGTTGTGAAAGCAAAATCTAAATCTCGATCACCATCACCTGTTGATACAACACCATTAAAAGAAAAGATTGAATTTATTACAGCATTTGGTGATGATGAAACATCAAAAAATAATGAACTAAAACGAAAAAGGCCTTTCGAAAAATCACTACTGGATGAATGCCGTGAAGCGAAAAAGAAAGCTGAACCAACTACTATTCCAATAAAAGTTCGTCGATTGGTTACGCCACCACGATTGCCTGCACCAACGTAATTATTGGTGTTCTTTTTATTTTCATTTACTAATATGAATTTTGTTAGAACATCAATTGTTCCATGTCGATCAGTTCAACGAAAAAGTCAAGTTTTTTTATCTACATTACAAAAATTAAAAGAAGATTCATCACCGTATGTTCTATATGCTTTTCTTTTATAATTAAAATTTTTTGTTTTAATATGAAGGGAACGACGAGTATTATCAGATGATGAAATATCAGCAGTAAAAGTAGTTCGAACGGAAAAGAAAGAAGAAAATAAGGATAACGATGAAGAAGACAATGAAGATGAAGATGATGATGATCTTCAACAATATCTTAAACGAAAAGAAGCTCGACAGTAAGAGAAAATAAAAATTTGCTTTTCATATGTCACAATTTATTTGCTTTTTGTAAGACGTAATCTAAACTTATCAATAACACCAATAAATCATAAAGAACAAAATAGTTCTAATGAGTCAACAACACTAGCAACTAAAGTAAAACAATAATAAGATTTTCTAATGTGATATTATATTCAATCATTTTTTTTTGCCTCCATAGGTTTCAATGATTAAAACTCCTCAAGAAAAACTTCGACGTCGAATGCAAAGTTTATTGAAAAAACAATGTAAATCATCTAATTTATGTTTGTTTTTGTTTATAGCAATGTGACATTTTTTTTTGTAGTTCAAAAAGATAAAGATCTACAACGTGAACGTCAACAGAGAGAAGAAAAAGAACGTGAAGTTCGTGAATCTGAGTTACGTCAATCATCAAGTAAACTGCGCCATCGTCGTTCACGATATCATTCGGGTAGTCGATCAAGATCAAGAACAAGAAGGTAAATGTTTTTCTTTATTAAATATATTTTTTCTTAACTTATTTTTGGATTTTAGTCATTCCCCATCTTCCCGTCGTCGACGGCAGCGATCATCGTCACCCTCGTCGTCATCATCATCGTCGTCGTCGTCTTCTTCATCGTCATCGCGTCATTCATCAGACAATCGAAAGAAAAAACGAGTATCGCCAGTAAAACCTCGCTCACCAACACCGGAGTTTTTGAGACAGCGTTTTCGTCGCAATTATCGTCGTCGTGCATCATCATCATCTTCTTCGGCATCTTCATCAAGGTCCGACAGAAGTTCATCGAAGAGGAAACGAACAGATTACAAATAAGCGTAGTCTTTCTTCTGTAATTTCTCTACTATGATGATAGATGTTAATACAGTTTTTTGTTTGTTTTTGTCGATGAGAAATATTGATCATATTTTGTATTTTTGCGAACTTGTTCAATGTTTAGTATCAAAATAAATATTACTATGATTTGTCTCTCTATCTGAAAAGTATCTAAGTATATTCACATACAAATAAACATGATACATGATGGTTCTTTGCTAGACGAAGTAGCCAATTTGATTTAAACGGCCATCGTTAAAACTGATTATCCATAAACAATCGATTAATAGCAATATTATAATTATACTAATTTATCTTATTCGATGATTCTCTGAGTGAAAAACATTTTTTTTGATATTTGTAGAATAAACGTGTTACTCTCAGAAGATATACAGTAAGCTTAGCTACTCTTTCTTTTGTCTCTAAAAAGACGAGTTTACTTTTCAAATCTTGAAAAATATCTTTGTTTTTATTATTATAATATTATGCATTTGTGCCTGGTTATGTTGTGATCGCTTTTTGAGAAATATTTTCTATATTCAAAAGTTTTACATGATCAATTATTTTAATTTCTAAATTGTGATAAGTCAAGTTTTTGAAAAATGTTAGATATCATTGATTTTTCAATTCGAATCGATGCATGAATATTTATTGCATGAATTTCTTCATACCTGAGCTGTTTTGCCAAATAAAGTCATGATTACGAAAATATTAAAACAGATTTTCATTAAATATTCCTAATTATGCGTTGAAGTTGAAGATAATTTTACTATGCTTATGATCACGCTGTATATCTGGCTTTTCATTGAAGATATTTCGAAACCTATCAATATGTAGAACTAACACCTAAGAAGTTTACTCTGCTGTTAAATCTTCGATTCATATATTTTTTCAAAAATTTTCAATCCGATTACTCATATATCTATTGAAAATTTTTCGACATCAAATTAAACAAGTTGACCATAGCATTCTTGATCATGGCATTCTTTTACTGGATACGTATTTGGTAAAATAAGAGTTTCAGTTGTCAAAATCAATGTTGTGCCTTCACGTCCAGGAAATGTTGCTTGTAGAAAGGCAGCAACCCAATATCCATCTCTAGGAATAGAAACTGAAAGGGAATATGAAATAGTTGCACCAATTTGTCCCTAAAGAATAATGACAAACTGTGGAACATCTAATAATACAGACTATATCTTATACAACCTCAAATTGAACAGCAGTATTTGTCCAAATAATAGGATTAACAACAATGCTACCAATGCCTGGATCAAGTTTTGCTTGCCGAAAATCACGTCTGTCAAATAAAACAATACTTTGATCGTTTCATATTATTTCCCTCGAACTTTACCTTAAAGTATCAGTGGTACGAGCTTGATAGGCTGTGACAGCTGTCGGTTGAGGTTTTCCACCACTGATATCAATGACAACATGAATAATGCCAAGTGTACCATTTATAGTACGCGTCCATTTCATTGATGGTAGAGGTCTTCTCTATATTAATTAGTAATTAAATGAAAGACAGAACTTGATATCTACATACATCTGCTATGCTAAGATAAAAACTAGACAGACTTTCTTCATGTCCTTTTATATTATGACCAGTATTAGGTATTCGTCTACGTATAAAAACTATGATTTGATGTTATCAAATACCATCTTACTGAGTTTCCGTACCTTAAATAGGATCCACCTGTAGCAACTTGTAAATCATTCCAGAAGAAGTCCTAACAACGGTTAAGATCATAGTTTTCATATAGTTTATGGACAATCAATATAAGTCTACTTCACTATCAGGCAGAAAAAATTCATCACCGGCACCTTGTAGCTGAAAAATTTTCATTTTGTTATATCTATCAAGATATGCTAATGATACAACAACCGTTTTCGTATAGTCTAAGAAATTATTCGATATCTTACAATATGGATCCACCATTGCCGCTAATTTATCAAAAGCTGAACTGTTCATATAGCGAGTAATATTCATTTCGTGATAATCATTAAATGCAAATGTCCATCCAGCAAGGGACTATTAGAAAACAAAATAATCATTTCCATAGACTAAATTGATACGTACGCGATAATGCGACATCATACTCTGAAAAGAAGAGTAAAAAACAAACAAATTAATGCGTTCATATAATTCAGTTTTATATTACTGGTCGAAGATTCAGTAGATCCATGACTATAGGGACTGCAGCGACAACTCGTGTATTATCTGTAGCTGCAGTAGTCCATGCTAGAATTCAATATAGAAATAGCAGAAAACGCTGATATAAATATTTATATACAAACTTGTCCATCCACGCTATAGATTAAAAAATTAAAGTTAAAACTTAATAAACATCCGAAATGAAAGCGTAATATTTACTTTTGAAGCACCACCAATAACAAATTCTTCCGGTACAACTATGTTTTGTTGTTGTAAAAATTGTTGAATAGCATCCATAGCTCGTACAACTGCCTAGTTTTTAAATAAAATTGATAAACAGTTGCAAAGACCAGTAAATATCTATGCTGTTCTCCTGGTTTGTTTTTGTTACTTTAGTCATTGGAAAACGAAGAAGCACTTGTGGATCACTACCATTGGCATCAAAATATTTTTTCCATGTCCAAGCAATGAGTGCATCTTCTTCTCGAGACTTTCTTAATGGATCATCCTTTAAAAAAGTTCAAACATCATAGTAATAACAATTAGATTATAAAATAACATACCCAAAAACGAAATGGTTGATTCGGAATCTGGTTAATCGTAGCTGTGATACTGTCTGTGCTAAGTGCAAGATTTGTCATTGGATTCGTAGCAGGCACTCTAAAATCAATCGAATTAGAGTGCACGAAAACAACATATACTTTCATCAGCTAATTTAGAGAACATATTGTTTTAATCAATGTATGAAATTTCTTATTGAATTATCTACTACTAGAAGATCTAATCTATTTAAACAATCGACGTAATCGATTTTGTATGAATAAAACATTTGATAAATTCATATGCCTACTTTTCTTCTTTATACTAATATTGTACTAAAGTATAGCGTAGACTTACGGATCAGTATTGTCTCCATGACTAATTAATAAGAAAGAAGTTTTAGGACGACGAATCATTCTTGGAACTGTAATAGTCAAATAATGCCACCAAATGGGTTGCGAGGAAAATGACTCTACATAAGAGACGATTTAATTCAGACTCTATAAAAGAAAACTTTTTTACCATCAAACCACCGTTGGGATGTCATATTCAATACATACAACGTATAAGTTGGTAGTGGATACGTTTGAAGGCGTGTCCAACTGAATATTGGGTCAGGAGTATGGACATAGTCGTCGAGTGGTGTTCCAAGACATTTATTTGAGGCAATCACAAAAATAACGATGAAAACGGCGTCAACGAGATGCATCGAGAGGATGCGATAAATAATGTTTTATTTTTATTTTCATCACGTCTTACTTTTATATACCGATTTCGTATTTAAACGAATACTTATGCTTTGTCAGCTCTTGCTTTAAAAAATCGTACTATTTGCATTTACTTAGTACCGCTATATATTGATATTTGATACTTCTGTTGAGTTTATCTCTACTGGATACACTAGATGAATGAAAAGCAAAGCAATTATATGACTCAATCTATTCGATTCACTAGTATATGAATATTCAACCTAATGTTTTATAACTTATTGTAATGCGTGCATTTTTTTTATACAGTGTACAATTTATTAAGTAATTCAAAGCTTTATTTCACAGTTAACTGTAATAGATTCTATTAAAGATGTGTAAAAAAACAAGATCGACTCTTTGACTTTAACAATATTTTAGAAATGAAATATCCGAGGTGTTTTACAAGTCAGATGTGCAAAAATATAGAGTCCTCTGGGGTAATTCGAATCAAACTTTTGAAAATTCATTTTGTTTTTGTTCTTTCTCAGTCATCTTACATTCTACAATGATGATTTTTTTATCACTGCTAGTTCAAAGTGTCCTCTATCGACTCATGAAAGAGTCATCGAAGAATATTCTACTGGTAAAAAGTATCAGTGAAAATGGCAAAAAAAGTAGTGTGGAGCTGATCTGAATTGCTCCATGTGGGGTAATTCAGATCACTCTATGAATCTAGGTGGGGTAATTCGGAGCACTACAGCAAAAACTGCTTGACTCATTTTCCCCATCTCCTAACTCTTTTTTTTTATTCGTACTTGTTAAAAGCAAAAACACCATTCGATAGCCCTAAGTGTCCTCTATGGGGCCTGAAAATATCTCGACGATCGAACAGAGAGTTGTAATACAATACTCACAACAAGAACACCTCCATCAATCAATTGAAAATCCATCTGGGGTAATTCGAATCACTCCAGCTATTTTTGCTGGTGATCATTTCTGAAACCTCTACCGTCTCTACAGTGCAAAATCGATCACTAAGCCTTACAGAGAAGTTGTTCATCTCTATTTTCTGTATCTCCTCCTACAAAAAATCACAGCTGATCCGATCAATTCAATACAATATATCAACTGAAATAATACGAAAAATTGTTCCAACTTATGACACACCCTAACGATATTTCACTAAATATTTCTAGCCTAAAATACATCCTGGAAAAAAAAACTTTGCACCTTTAGATTTAGAAATGTTCGAGCTACAAAATGATATAGTGGAAAAAAAAATCTGGAAGATCATGATTGTTGAATTTTAGTGCTTTTATGGTGTTGTAGAGATTGATAATCATGTTTGATTTCTCTTGACAAGCGTGTTTCATGTTGAAAACGTAATTTTAGCATTAATCGTTATTATAAAAATCTAACTTCTGACTTATTTTGTTGGTCAAAATATCATATGATTAGTACACCGCATGTTCCTAATTCGAACAGATTATACAAAATACATAGAAAAAAAAGACTTTTTTAGTAAATGAAACTTTTTTATGTTTCAAATCGAAAATTTCTTGTTGCTTCCGCTAGAAAAGATGCTTGTTGACCCATTCCGAATTATTATCCAGCGGTTCAACTTAATCTGAAATCGAACACCAGATATAGGTAATACTGGTGAATTTAGCATTTTTTCAAGACTATATCTCAGCGTCAGAGCATAGGACGATAGAGGACACTTTGAACTAGCAGTGATAAAAAAATCATCATTGCCACTAGTCGACGATCTTGACTTCGATCTGTCTAGATTCTTGTTTTTCTTGAATATCAGACAAGATTCTTTTGCCATTCCTTCTGTACAAGATTCTTGCCTGAAAAAACAGATCTTGTCTTTCTGGCAGGATTCGTGTAGATACAATCTTGGCTGGCGAGGCAAGAAATGTCTCGCCAGGCAAGATTCTTGTGTTCCTGTATTCTTATCTGATTCTTGTTTTCTTGGAATTCTTACAAGAATCTTGTTTCTTGCCTTCCTGGTATGATTCTTTTTTCTTGCCATTCAGACAAGATTCTTGTAAAATAAATGAATCCGATTTATGCAGCAATACAGTTGCCTCTTTCGTTACTGTTATATTCTTATTTCGAATTTCAAAAACGATACACAAAAAAGTAAAAGACAATTGCAACAAAATTTACAATTAATTCATATCACAAACACAAAAAGAATGTTTAACAAGAAATAAAGACGAGGAACAAAAAGTGAAAACAATTTTTTCGATTTAAAAAATGTTTATTAAAATGTGTCGTCGTCGTCGTCGTCGTCGTCGTCGTTGTCATCATCATCGTCGTCATGCAAAATGGATGATGTTTCAATAGTGGTTCATTCTAAAAGACAAATGAACAATACAGAGATTTTACATTAGAGTAGCTCATTTATAACAAATTATTTACAATAGGTTCAACAGGTGGAATCAGCGAAGATAATTGAGTTGGATTAGGTCTACTTTTTCGATTATCACGCCACCGTCGTTGTCTCAGTGTACGAGATGCTGGTTCTGAAAAAAATAATATGCAGGTCGAAAATAAAGAATATTGCATAAACGTATAGATACTACCTAAATTACTAGCAACATTGGCGTATACCGACTGAAAAAAATTGTCCGAATTTTCTTGATCCATCATTCATAGGAAAAATCTANTTTTTCTGATGAATCAGACTAGATTCATATCATCTTAAACTTCAGACAAGATTCTTTGGGAGAGGAAAGAAACAAGATTCTTGTCTGAATTTTAAAAAATCTTGAATATCTTGTCATTCTTTCCTGATTCTTATTTTTCAGATGAATCCGACAAGTTTCTGTTTTTCTTGAATAAAAGGCAAGAATCTTATTTCTTTCCTTTCGCGAAGAATCTTGTCTGAATATGATGATTGTAAAGAATCTTGCCTGATATTCAAGAAAAACAAGAATCTGGACAGATAGAAGTCAAGATCGTCGACTAGTGGTAGAATGTAAGATGACTGAGAAAGAACAAAAACAAAATGAATTTTCAAAATTTTGATTCGAATTACCCCATAGGACTATATTTAATGTTGATTTATCAGTTTCATTTAATAATTTAATTAATCAGGCGAGCTTGTTCTTGTCTTTATTCTTCATAAACATATTTCACACATAATAATCATCGGCGCCTAGGTCTATATCAACTCCAGATGTTGTCGATGGGAAATGTTTGACATAGTTATTTGTTGAATTAAATTTTGGTATTGCTGAAGCTGATTCAATTGCTTTAATGAACTGTTGAAAATAATCCAAATCCCATTTATTGTCAGCGGCTGATTGCCAATAATCAATTTGACCGAAAAAAAAGCCATTTCACATAGTCTTCCGAATTTGGGTCTTTCATTTACTGTACCACATGTTTGTTGACTATAAAAATCCGGTGTTGATGTATTTGGATTATTTGTAACCTAAAGAGAATACAAAGCTACAATTAAATGTGGATTCTTCACCATTTTTTTCGTTCTCAAACCCAAAAATTACAATAAAATGTTAAGATTTTCAGTTTTAAATTAAACTCCAAGCATAATTACTTGTCTAAGTTTTGCATGACCAAATTCATGAATCGTTATTGTACAGATATCCATTCCAGAAACTGATTTTCCGATGGGTGAGTCAGGATGATATTCTGTTGAATATATCGACATTTGACCACGAATATAGGCTGGATTAATATAAATTTTATTAATTCCACAAAATCCTCTTGAACCAGCGAGTGTACAATTAATTATTTCCACTTGAATGGATGGAAGAACATTTGGTAAACGTAGACATGCACCACTATCAACTAAACAATTGACAACTCCTATCACCTACAAGAAAAAGGCAGATTCACATAAGAAAATTCAAACTACACAGCAGTATTATCTTTAAAAGCTTAGATTGTGTACAAAATAATGAGAAAGAAACAAAACATTCTTCAGAAGTGAAGACTTGTTCTGAATCTCGAACAATCTTTACAGATGAAGGTAAAGCATTAGATTACGTAGACAACGCATGCATATAAAATATGCGATTAAAATACGACAACATAGAAAAAGGGTAATCTTATGAGTTGGGCACTAATACAATTCGTCGCGTGACAATTCGTTGCAATCAGTTCGTCGCATGTATACGAGAGGATACATTAATCGAATAAGATATTTAGTGTAGAATGTGATTGAATAAATCACTCCGGTAAATGTTTTTCTTCAGAGAATAATGGCTCCTTCTTGATAATTCTTTTTTTAACAATAGAGATCTGATTTTACAGGTTTCTTTACAATTAAATTAACTAGAATTTAAATTACAAAAGCTCAATGGAATTGAATTAAAAATGAATTAAAATTTTTCTAGCATCAAAATTAAAACTATATAGAAATAATGTTTTTTTATTGAATGATTCGTAATGAAGCAAATTAGTTATCGTTATTTGGAAAAAAGATGACTTAAGCAGTAACGCATAAGAAAAATAAGAAATCTAGTATTTGAGTTACACATGTGTTGACAAAAATAAAAATTCTTCAACAAATCATACATGATTCCTGAAGTTCAATCTTCCGTATTCCAGAGATAATTGACAACATATATTTCTTAACACCATTTGTAGACGAAATACAACTTCTATTTGTAGAAAATTGAAAAAAAATTTGAAATACTCAATAAAGTCTAAACCAATCTTGATCATTTTTTTCTTAAAATTCTTTCTAATTTAAATTTCAATAATTTTAACTTTCATTTTCAATTTTCCATTTTAATTCTTATAAGGGTTTAAAAATTTATTTCTCCATCTAATAATTATTTTAAATTTCAATCTTCGGAGCATAAGCGGGAAGCCTATTTTGAAAATGTTTGAACCACTTTATCCACGAACTGAGCATATTTATGTATCACAGAAAACTGTCCCAGACAGTACTGAGCGAATTATATACTTAAAAAAAAAAAACGTGAAATTTGCTTTCATTGGTTTCTTTTTTTAGGTGAGGATTTCATCAGAATTTATCCCCTTAAAGGACTAGAATCCTATTTATCATCAGACTCTTTGTATTTTAAGAGAAAATTCTTTAAGAAATCTTTTCAAAAGTAAATTATTTCTTTTTTTCGAAGCTCATCTTCTATTCCTCATGTATATCTAACAGTTCAATAACAGCGTGTACAATTTACATGATTAATTAAATAACATACTAAACTACATATCTTAATTCAATTAATGTATCCTCTCATATATGCGTAACATTTGCAATCTCCACTTACAACTGGATGATTTAATTTTAACGAGGCGAGCATTTTCCATCGATCAAGACGATCATGTGTATCATCGATTATCATATTTTTCATTCATTTCACTTTCAAAAACCAAGAACATAATCTTTCACTTGGTAATTTTAGTTTCGTACCATGTAGTAATAACATCAATTTAGATTTTGTAAGAGGCTCGGCTGTATCATTTGTTCCAATTAACTCTAGTAATAACTTTAATGACGAAACATTAAATATATCACATTCATCATGATAATTTAATAAGTTTTGAAGTATAACAACTGACATTTTACTAAAAATAAAACAAAAGAAATTATTAAAAGAGTAATTTTGAGATTATTGTTCAAACTTTAGTTTACCCAAAATTTTCTGAAGAATCATCGTTACTTATAGTTAAAGGTGTAATAAATTTTGCTTTTTCTCGAATAACACAGAGACTTGTTGTTGTAACATTTGCTGGAAGGCTACAGATGAACGTTTGAAATGCATCAAATAATTCCATCATTTTCCATACAAAGAGTAAGAATATTGTCTCGAAATGTTCTAATGGCAACCGAATCAAAAATTTCGCAACAGCGATAAAAATCTGAAGTGAGAAATTTAACAAAAATCATAAAATATTTGTGTCAGTATTAAACTTAAGCCGCATGCTTTGATATTGTTTTGCATTAGAATTAATCAACACACAATAATGTACGGGAAACAACAGAATGCATGGTAAGCAGAGATGGGCAACTCCGCACAACTCCACTCCGATTTTTTTAAATCCCACTCCAACTCCGTTTCAACTCCGATTTTAAAACGTCGTTGAATTTTCTCGAACAAAATTTGCAAGCATAAGAATTTCTTAACAGAAATCTAGAATAACTAATGATGAATAGTAATTTTATTTATTTCTTTTAAAGTTTTTCACATAGAATCTTTAAGTATTTATTTTAAGAAATCAAGGTTGCATTACATTTAACAAATGTTAATTTAGATAATGTGTCCGTTGATAAGCGACTTCGATGTGGTGTCATAAGTAGCCCACTTTTTGAGAATTTTCTTTCAGCTGGAGTTGATGTGGCTGGAACACATAATACTCTTAATGCTGCATAAAATGCACGTAGCAGATGTTTTACCTTTGCTATCACCAGCAATATATTATTTGAAGTTTTCAAAATATTTTTCCAAACCTTTATCGCCAATTTTTTTTTAAATCAAAGATGATGCTTTACCATCATCACTAAAACTCATTTCTAGATCAGTTGTTGAAAGTGTAAGATCAATTGTTGATTCATTAAAGGATGAGTTCATTTCAAAATCGATCACGAACAAAAAAGACAATCGAGAAAATATAGACGTTCGATGAAATGATACTTTTAAAAAATGTCTCCTAGTAAATAGAATCGTTAATCGATTTAAAATTTTGCTGTTTATATCTATATTTTTCTCTCTTCCCTCATTCTCTTCCACACATTTTTACACTAAGACTATTCGTCCATGTGCCTACTAGTTGTGCCATCAATACCATGCGCAGACATATCTGTTTACACTATCGTCTTTCTTTCGTTCTCTTCTCTAACGAAATTCACGAAACTAACCGGAGTTGGAAATCGGAGTTCAAAATCGGAGTTGAAAAACACCAACTCCAACTCCATATGAAAAAAGATCAACTCCACTCGAACTCCACTCCAGGCATATATCAACTCCACTCCAACTCCATACAACTCCACTCCGATTTGGAAAAATACCACTCCAGCTTCAACTCAAACTCCGCCGAAAAAAGCACCAGCTCCGGAGTTAACTCCAACTCCGAGTTGGAGCTGCCCATCTCTGAAACGTGCTGTATAATTTTTCTTTTAGCACTCTTTCTTTCCTTGAAAAATCAGTTTTTTCTTAGATCAGTCATCGAAAAATGTCTGTTTTTTTTACTTTCAATGTAAATATCTCCATAGATTCACAAGCTAGAGACTTTAAATTTCTATGGTAGTATAGGCATGAATTAAGCAACAAAACAGAAAAAAAAACATTTGAAAATCGGTTCTGTAGAACCAGAGTTGTGATTAAAACACTTTAATATTCCAATCGTACAATAAAGTTGCAACTGACTGACTCATATATATTGCTCATTCTATATATTTATCGCCTAAATTTGATTATTGCTCATTCTATATTTTTTATTGCTCAATTAAATATAAGTCTGATATATATAGCAACTATCTCATTACAGCATGTGAACTTCTTGAAAGTTTGTCTTTAATTGTGGTAAAAAAGAAGTTTTAATCAAGCAGATACAACATTGTTTAAAGATGGATTAGCAATCATTCCCAAAAAAGTTTTAGACTGTCTGTTAGTCTTCTTTTAATAATAAACGTTGTGTTTTAATTAAGTCTACTGGTTGATTCATCTTCAAGATGATCACGAGCGCATGCATGAAAAAATACTACTTGCCTATTGAAAATGACACGGCTCATTGATTCACGTAGACAAAAATAAGTTGGAAAAAACCAAGTAATTTCGTCAGCGATAAATATGGCGTACTCGTCAATGCAAACATACTAAAACGAATTCGCATTCTTCAATACATCTTACCAAGTATGTATATTTTATTCAGTTTAAATTGTTTATAGATAATATAGAAAAAGCATAGTGAAGTATACTTAAGCTGAAGATATTGGTTTTCAATAAAAGATTAAGTGTTCT